GAATTGAATTCTTTCACTGAGCACTTAAGGTGCTACTAGTAACATAGCCTGAGTCTGAAGCTAGACGGTAAGTTAGGTTCTCAGCTGCTGCTCAGTCACTACGACATTAGGTTAGTCATTTTCAGTTTCCACACTATGAAATGGAGATAAGATGAAAATAGGTTTGTTAGGAGATTAACTGAATTTTTGTCAAGTGTTTAGGAGAGTATCTGGCACATAGTAAATGATATGTATATACTTTCTCAATAAATGAACAAGGAAAGCATATTAGGTAAAAAAAAGTAGCAGACATGAAAACTGGTGATAACATATAAAAAACAGACTTGAATACTACAAGTAATATGAATTTCACTAATTTCTTGAGCCAAAGAATGTTAGCTAAATGCTGCCACCTTCCATGAAGGACTGGAAAGCAACTGGATTTGTAAGGATAGATGACTTTCTTCTTTCAGGGAGTATGAGGATTTCAGGTCTGTTTCAGTCAGTTGCTTCCACACCAACAGCAGGGCCTTTGATTTAAAGCCAAAACAAATTAGAGGCTTGTATAATTATTGATAGATTGGGCACATACCAGAAATGTCCTGGGAAAACACATATATTTCAGAATGGGATACCTCTTCTTCATGTGTGACCTTATTCCAGTTGTTGATTTGGCTATTATTATTAATTTTTAGATGTATAAAATGTCTTTCTTACAGATATCTTACATGCAGATAGTTACTTAAGACAGATAGATTTGAATTCTTAGCCCCATTCTGCCACTAATTGCATGACCTTAGGTACCTTACTTCTCTCATTCTTAGTTGTCTTATCTGTAAGATAAGGAGAGTAACAGTACCTACTTCCTAAGATCTTAGTAAAGGTTGGAAATGCAATAAAGTACTTAGCACAGATCCTACTACACAAAAAAAGCTCAATAAATATCATCCTTAGTATCACTACCATCATCAGTATTTCTTAAAATATTTCTTACAGTTATTTCTTAAAATATTTCACCTCAACCTTATTGAGGTATAGTTTAGACACAATAAAATGTACCCATAATTTTTGACAAATGTCAACACTTATGTAACCATGGCCACAATTGATACATGGAATATTTACAACATCACTCCAAAATCGTCTTTTAAAACAGGAACACTGCTGTCTTATCCGGTAATGAGACAAAGGTGAAGTCAATGTGTAAAGAGACATATGGTATCGACTATAAAAAAATGAATATGCACTAAATAGAATTACAAAGCCATGTAAATGTAGCAGCAGGAGCATTCATTTTGAGGGGGTTGGGGGACTGGTCAACTGCATATTGTTGTTTCTGCCTATTCGGCATTAATTCCCTCTTTTCCTGTTAACAGCACTTTGCTTGTCCTTTGGGGAAATAACTCCTCCCCATGCTTTATGTGTTAACAGCAGGGCTGTTTAACCCCTGGCTTTAGTCTTGCAATTTCTGCTACAATTCTTAGAAAGAAAACTCTCTTATTGCTAATATTGCTGGATATAACTTTGGAGGAGCAGAGAGAGCCACTGGGAATGAAGATGCCATAGAGGAAGGTCAGCTCATGGGACGGAGAGAGAAGTCATGTGCTGATGTCTTCATCTAAGTCTCCAGAGACTACATCTATTTCTGGTCCTCAGTGACAGGAGGACCTATGAACCTTCATCCTGTTTGTGTTCAGGAGCCACGAGTGGCCGATGCTCACCTCTACCTATGTAGGCTCAGAGATAACATATGTGAGAATGCTTTCCAATTTTCTACAAATAGAAGATCATCATTTGCAGATATAAAATTAATTGGACAACTGAAGTCAGAAATAATATGGATTTTACACTGATCCTGAAAATAGAACTATTTGGACTTACTGCTTGATTAATTTGAAGGAATTCAGACATCTTCCTAAGAATGTAGGCCAAATCACTTTGTTCAAATCATTTCTTTAAGTTTATTTATTTATTTTGAGAGAGAGAGAGTGTGTGAGCAGGCACACCGGCATGAGCGTGCAAGAATGGGGGAGGGGTAGAGAGAGAGGAAGAGATAGAATCACACCGTGGGCCTCTATCCCACCAACCCTGAGATCATGGCCTGAGCTGAAATCAAGACTCAGATGCCCACCCGACTTAGCCCCTTGCCTCAGTTATTTCTGTATTTCCTATCAAAGTGATTTCTGTTTTATTTGCAGTCATAGCTACCACCTATGTTGTCACACGAGTCGCTGTTTCTTCCGTATTAAACTTGGGGCCCTCCTGTTGGTGGTGGGCACCTCTAAAGCATGCATTGCTGTTCTCAGAGCTGGGGCTGTGGCAGCAGACAACACAAAATCTCCACCTCATGGAGCTTATTTTCTAGGGAGAGAGAGACCAGTGCAAATTCCATGTGCCAGTTTGTGGACTCAGTACTACTGCATTCTGATTCTCTTTTTCTGATAATATTGAGGCGTTTATGGAGATCCTGGATTAAATAAACAAGAAGCGAAATGCTATCCACACATGTTTCTCTGTAAATGGGAATATCAAGGTATACGTTTGGGTATGTGTATGTGTCACACACACTTCTTAGTTAGGCAACCTGGGTTAAGTTACAATTCTTGGCCTCAATTTCTCATCTGAAAAATGGGGATTATCATAGTACCAATATAAATGCATATAAGAAAATAATTTAGCATAGTGTCCGGTACAAACTAAGAGCTTGAGAAATGATAGCCATTATTATTATTATTATTATTACATATATATCACTTTATACACAATTGCCTAGAATTCCTCAATAGAAGAAGATAAATCATCATGGCCCCCGATTTGTTTCATTCATGTAACATTCATTGAATATCATGTACTAGGCCTACTATGGCAGGTTGTTTTTTTCAGACATGGCTGCAAAAACATCTCCAGGTCAGCAAAGAGCCTGATGTGGGGCTCAAACCCACAGACTGGGGGATCACGACCTGAGCTGAAGTTAGACACGTAACCAGTGGAGCCACCCAGGCGCCCCTCACTTCCCTTTGAATCTGTATAGGCTTGTGACTTGTTTGTAGCTAATGAAGGAGGTAGAAATGTGTGGCTTCCAAGGCTAAGACATAAAAGGTGATGTAGCTTTCCCCCTGTACAGCTAGCACATTCACCCCAGAGTACTTAGGCTGCCGCGCTGAGAGGAACCAAAGGAGGGACCACGGAGGAGAGCTCGTGGAAAAGCCCTGGGCCCACCCAAGGAGAGGGAGCTGCTCCGCTAAACCCCGGCGAGAGACTCTAAGCTGGAACTACCCAGCTAAGCTTTCCTCCAGATTCCTGACCTACAGAGATCATGAGAGAAAATAAAAGACTGTTGTTGTTTTTTAGACTATTAAGTTTTCGTGTGATTTGTTACGCATCAGTAGAGAACCAGAATATCGACTTTTTACGTGCTCAAAATACAGCATGAAACAAATCTTTCTCATCCTTGGCAAGTGAGGAGCAACTATTTTCAGGATTTTAATGATCACTGGTTTGGGCCTCCTATCAAGTCTAAATCTGTAGATACAACAGCAAATAGATCACATTCATTCATTCATTCATTCATTTATGCATTTAATGAACCAATCAATTGTTTTCTCAACATTGATGGCTTCTCTGGCCCCTGAATTGGGAACCTTTAGCCATGTTCCGAAGCACCCAGGCCTTCTGTCTCAGCCGGCAGTGCTGCTACTACTTTTTCTCCTGTCTCCCCACCCACCCGTAGCAATCAATTCGATCCCTGTTACTCATCTTAGTATCCATAGCATACTGAACATAGTTCAGTGCCTGCACATAGCAGACCTATTTGAAAGGACAAACAGAACAAACAAAAAAACCTTAACTAAGGAGGGCTGCTAATTCCTGGACATCCAAAAATGTATTCAAGGACAGTCCCTATCCTCCAGGAGTTCACAGTTCAGCACGGTGATGCAGCCTGACAAGTGCAGTGAGTTGCCAGAATTGATTCCTGTGGTCGAACAGAGGGACAACAGTGCAGCGCACTGGGAGTGGGGAGGAACACAGGAAAAGACCTATTCATTTATTCCACAAATACTTATCAATCCCGGAGCACGCGTGGCACACGTAGCACACGGTAAGCTCTCAGTATCTGTTACTAGATGCTAGCCGCTGTTGTAGGTGTTGGGGATGCAGCGGCGCACAAGAAAACTGCAGTGGTCCGTGCCCTCGTGAAGCTCACAGTGTATCAAAGGACGACAGGCAGGACGTGATTATGTAAAATTTGCTTGGTGCCCAGCAGGAACACAACAGGCGGCTGAAATTCTCGGAAGGACTTTAGATCCTTCGACTGGGGGCAGCCGTGGGAGGGTTTTAGGCAGGAGTGGCCATGAGGGGTAGAGACTGGGGGAGGGGGGCGGGAAGACTGCAGGCAAGAAGAGCTGGTCATTTTAAGATGCAGATAGTCTCCGACTGGAATAAGAAGCGTGTGTCTAGGGTTGACATGGTGGTTCCGTAAGCTCGAAGTTCTCCCGGGGTAGGGAGGTGCATTCCGAGTGAAAGCTCAATTGCTCAGCCGTGCAGGGCAGGCTGAATGGAGCCGCAGCCCCAATTCCCCAGTTTTTTTTCACGCTCCGCACACTTAGCATCCTCCGTTCCCACACCTGCAGACGCACCACTTCGGGTTCGGACCCGGGTCGTGGCGAGCCGGCCCCATCCGGAGTGGCGAGGGCCAGTGCAGCGCGGCAATCACTCCTTGGGCTCTGGGTCTGCAACACAGCGCCGGCGGGGGGAGGCGGAGCTTGTGCTGCGGACCTAGGCGGTGGCGTGGGCTCCGCCCCCCGCCCTAGGCCCCGCCTCTAGGCCTCGCTGATTGGGTCAAGGCGGCGGAATGGCCGGGTGTCCCCGGGAGGCAGGGGGGTCGGGCTGAGACGGGCGCGTTGATTGGTCCGGCTGAGATTAGGTCATCGCTAGCAGGTTCGAGCGGCCCGGACGCCGGTAGGGCGGCCGAGGCTGCTGTGAGAGGGCGCTCGAGGCTGCTGGAGAGCGAACAGTCGAAGGAGGCGGGGAGGCGGCGGCCGCACTCGCTCGCCTGCTAGCTCCCTTCCCGGCACAGCAGCGGGTCCGCAGCTGCGCTTCCTGCCCGCCCACCACTCCGCTGCGCGCCGCCCGAGCAGCCGCCCCTCGGCTGGGTCCCCGCGCGGGTCGGGAGTCTTGCGTGCCGGCGGACACCAAGCGGAGGGCGAGCCGGCGCCACACCTGTGGAGCCGGCGGGCGTCGGGGGTCCGGGCCGGGGTCCCGCCGCGTGCTTGCTCGGGGCTGCGGGCCTCCGGGGCGCCGGGGGAGGCGCGCCCCCCGGCTGGGCGACGCGGGCACTATGGGGCTCCCCGCGCTCGAATTCAGCGACTGCTGCCTCGACAGCCCGCACTTCCGAGAGACGCTCAAGTCGCACGAAGCCGAGCTGGACAAGACCAACAAATTCATCAAGGAGCTCATCAAGGACGGGAAGTCACTCATCAGCGCGCTTAAGAGTGAGTGTCCCGAGCCCGGCAGGGACGGGGCCCTGAGGCAGGAGAACCGTCGGGCGGCTCTCGGCCCTGGGCACTCGCGCGCCGACTGCCGTTCCGCCGCGGGGGTCACTGAGCGTCGGGCGTAGGTGCTTGCAGTGGGGCGAGACGGGCACGTAAGATGGGCGAGTCGATATGCAAGGAGACCTGCCGCGCACCCGTTGGCTTTCTGGGATGGCCGGGAGGTGACCGAGGGCGAGCGGTGCTCGCGGGCCACCGCGGCTGGGGGTGCGCGGCACACAGGTGTCCCGGGAACGGGATGCCGGTGCCCCGCGCGCCGCACTCCGTCGGGAAACCGCACAGCGCCCGCCACTCCGGCTCCCTTGGGGGAACGCTTGCTCACCCCTGGGTACCCAACCCGGGAACTGAACGTGCCCCGCCAAGGGGGCGCTGCCTCCCCTCCGGAAAAGGCGGCTGGTGATTGCCTCGCGGTCTGTCCGCCAGCCTGCTCAGGGCCGCCGGGTTCTGCGAAAGGCGTCGGCGTCGCCAGGGAAGGGCTGGGTGGAAGGGCTGCTTAGCTCGCGGTTCTGGGGAGGGTTGGCAGCCAGGAACCCAGGGCCATGTACGTGTGCAGGTTCTGATTCTTGTGTTTAGCAGAAGGTGACAGGGGTGGGAGTACAGCCTCAGAGTGTTCCTTTACTCTAAACTGTGGGCGAGGGTTTAAAAATAGAACGAGCATATCCTGACTGTCTCCCTCTCCCGCTCCCTCGCTCTCCTTTCCACCTCTCCCATTATCCTTGAAAACTCCAAGGTTTTGAAGGAAATGTCCAACGCCTTCACTCAGAAAGGAGAGGTTTAGGGGCGCCTGGGTGGCTTAGTCGGTTAAGCGTCCGACTTTCGCTTAGGTCATGATCTCGCGGTTCGTGGGTTCGAGCCCCGCGTCGGGCTCTGTGCTGACTGCCAGCTCAGAGCCTGGAGCCTGTTTCAGTCTGTGACNTCTCTCCTAGAAATAAATAAAAACATTAAAAAATTTTAATAAAAAAAAAGAAAGGAGAGGTTTAAACTCGTCCTCAAAAATTCTGGAACCTTTGGTAAAACTATTTTTACTTATTTCCTTTGGGTAGGGGAGCAGTGAAATTTGCATTCTGTGTATATTCCCTTGACTTTTGCAGAGCCGGAGTTTTTCTTTGGCCAAAGAAGAGTGTTCTAGGGATGAGCTCCTTGGACCATGCGATCGTTTCTGGTGCCTTCGCAGTCTGCCCATTTAAACATAGTTTGGGCCATCTTTTAGTTTTGAGAACCAGGAATAACACGAAGGGAGATAGTGGGACTGAACTGTCTTTGCCTTTTCTTTGACTGTGTATGTGATGGATTTAAAAAATAAAAAAAATTAATGTATTATTTATTTTTGAGAGAGAGAGAGAGAGACAACATGAGCAGGGGAGGGTCAGAGAAAGAGGGAGACACAGAATCCGAAGACAGGCTCCAGGCTCTGAGCTGTCAGCACAGAGCCCGACGCCGGGCTTGAACCCACGAACTGTGAGATCATGACTTGAGCCAAAGTCGGACACTCAACCGACTGAGCCACGCAGGTGCCCCGCGTGATGTATTTCTTAATAGGTGATACCTTTTAGCCAAGAAAGGTTGCATTGGAAGAGTGGGCTCCTAACCTCTGAGAATTGTTCCCAGTCCTCTTTGAAGGAGATTTACAGAAGTCAGGTGCCTGAGATGTCATTTTGTGATCCTGTTGCTTCTAAAAATGTAGAGATACGTAATGGAATGCCCCAGGGCATCAGTTGCGGATCTTTTGTGGTGAAATAAACCTAGACATTAAGGGTACTCAGAGGCAGGGTCTCTGTTGACTTGAAGCCTATGAATGGCTCTTCTTTATCTGTTTCCATCCTTGGTTCAGGGAACACTCCACCCCTGGTTTGGAGTAAGTTAGGAATCCACTTATAGGTTGGGTGCACACATTATTTATTTATTTTTAATGTTTATTTTAGAGAGAGAGTGACAGAGTGTGAGCAGGGGAAGAGGGGGGACAGTGAGACACAGAATGTGGAGCAGGCTTCAGGCTCTGAGCTGTCAGCACAGAGCCCGACACAGGGCTCGAAGCCACAAACTGTGAGATCATGACCTGAGCCGAAGTTGGACACTTACCCGATGCAGCCAGCCAGGCGCCCCAAGACAGAACTCTTAATCCTTCTCCATCTAGCTCACCCAGAATGGGTCCCTTAGACCAAGCCTGCTAGTATTTGGAATTGCATTTGTCTGCCTGTCTCGAGTATGAGTAAGGTGAATTTGTGCGACTGGCGATGTAGTTGCCTGCCACTATTTCTTTGGCAGGCGTCGGAATTCTTTGGGTAGGAGGGAATAATGATAGCATTTAAGAGTTATTTAAGTTGTCTAATGGAATGGAGCAGGCCTGTAACTTGGGAGAAAGACTAGTAAGGAACTAAATGTTCTAATTCCTGTATATTCAGCTGTACTTTTTAACTATACTCTTCAACAGCTACTAGTATTTGAATAGGTCATGTGACCTCTTAAGTGGAAAGGGTGGAGTTGACCTCTGTTTCCCAGATTTGAGGCATTCTATTATCATGAGGAGCTTACACAGTGTATATTACTGTCTTAGTATTTGTGTTTTATTTTTCTTCTGTTCATCCTTCTCACTCCTTAAAATGTAAAGCCAGCATTTTTAAAACTAATCACACTAAATATATAATTATATAAATAACACTCATTTAGATCGTTTACAGTCTCTTCCAGCTATAAAATTTTATGGCTTTGTTTTATAATTAGTATTCACAGAACTTTGGGTTTAGGTTTCTTTTGTGTGTTAATCCAAGGCAATAAAAATGGGCCTCTTGGGATTGCCAAACGTTTTATTTATGAAGAAACTGAAGGTCAGAGAGGTCAGTAACCTGCTCAAGGTGACACAGCAGTTAAATGTATTTGTACCCAAGTTGTCAGATTCCAAAGCCTGTGCTTAACTTAACCCTCAAGCAAAACTGTTGCCTAGGTCTGTTGTGTCTTCAGTCCCCTTGAGAATGTGATAAACAAATAACCCCCTTGAAGTTTTTCCCTGGAGTCCAAGCCTCAGGTCTGGATACATAGAAGATAAGCAATAAAATGATTTGGGACCTACCTTGGTGACTGTCATTCAGCTTTTCCTGTCCTGATTTCTCCAGGTCTTTCCTGTGATGCTCGTATGCCCAGGACTCTTTTCTGACCCTGATGAGTCAGTGTCTCACTTGGGAGGCTTTTATATGTTGAAGGCTTTCTGTCTTTCTGTAGAGACCATAGAAGCTGGAGACGAAGTTCAGACTTGTAGAAATAAGTTTTAGGATTTCCTGGGTTCGAATCTTAACCCTCACACTTACTGGTTGACTTTGGGCAAGTCACTGAGCTTGAGCTCTTCCATGTAAAATGGGAGTAGCCACCCTGACCTAGTGTCGTGAGGATCAAATGAATCAGTGTTTGTAAGGAAGGCACTTAGCTTGGAGCCTGGTGCATAGCACCGCTCACTTGGTAGCTATAATCATCTTGCAGCATTCAGGGTGGTCAAGACTCAGAGCAAAGTTACCAAGAACAGAGAGACACTTTTTGGTTTGGGTGCAGGGAATTAGGCAGTATGCCTTCTTCATGCTACTTGTTGATAACTTACACGGCTGTGTATGTGTTAACCACTGGTTAGAGTGGGAAGAGTCCTGGTATTCCTGTTTGCATAATGTTGTGGTTATGCCACAAAAGCTCCACAAGTTAAGAAAAAATAGGAGTAAGCCTCCCGACTACTTTCTGTTCCTAATAACATTCTGGTAGCTTAAAATTTCAACCTTCCTGCTAGCTTACTCTACCCCCTCAGTGTCTGCACTGGCTTCCTCTCTCTCTTGTCTTGCAAGAAAAGCTTGCAGAATGCATTGGACTCCATAGCTGGTCTCATGGACCCAGTGGCAAACCAAATGTGGTTTCATAGAAATGAACTTGAATTAGGCTATTGGTTTTGGGCAGTGGTGTGGGTTTTCAAGAACTCTTTATTTCCATTTTGAGAGTTGAGTTATGGACTTACTGCCATACATTTGGCTTCTGCTTAATGAGGTAGAATGAATACCCTTATTCTGATCATCTAAAATGGGAGGGGTGGGTCAAAAACTCAAATGTTAAGATATCAACTCTTTTAAGGCATAATTTACCTTACCATACAGTTCACCCGCTTAACAGAATCCAGTTCAGTGGTTTTTAGTACATTCACAGAATTGTGCAGTCATCCCCACAAAGAAGTCTCCTTCCCATTTGTAGTTGGTCCCCATTTTCTCCCAGCTCCCTGCCACCCCTGTCCCCAGCCCCTGCTACCCCGTCCCCAGCCCCTGTCAATCACTAAGTATCTCCAGTCTTTATAGAATTGACTATTCTGAACATTCACACGTGTGATTTTAATAGTCTCCTCCTAGGTGGTGATGAGCAACTTTAAATACAAAATTTTTCATTGGATTTCAGGTGGGGGAACTTGAATCTATATGCTACTCTGCTTCAGGGGCGTTTGAGTAGAGGTGAGGTCCCGAAGATGGGACTGTGTCCCAGGGCTGGGAGGAACCCAGGTGTGCCTTTGTCTTTCAAACTCATGAGTGGGGAATGGATTAGTTGTTGTTGCTGGTACTGTGATGGACACAGCGGAGACCAAAATAAAACTAAGAATCCAGCCCCTTCCTTCTGTGAACTTTCGGTCAAATTGGGGCAGGGTGTGTGATAATTTCTAAAGCCTTATTCTGGAGTCTTACCTGCTGGGGGACACTTTTTTACAAAATGAAGTAAATGTATATTTCTATAGCTGAGTCTATAGTATTCACGAATGTATTTGGAGATGACGTGCTTTTGATTATTGAGCACTTGTCAAGCGCCTGACCCTATGCTGTGTGCGCATTAGTCTCATTAGTCCTTACCACCATTTGTGAGTGAATACTCTTATTTTTCTGTATTTTAGCGCTGGGGTAACTTGTCTAAGGTTACGTAGCTAGTAGGTTGTG